CGGTGCGGCTCCAAGCGCCAAGAATGCTGGTAGCTTGCGATGCCCACTCAGTCACTCGAACAGCGATTAACAACGATTCAGGCTTCATCCTTGTGACGCTGTCTCCTTTTGTGTTGCTGGACACCATCAATGCAATGATGTGCGACGAGCCGGGCCCTCGTTTTCCACGGCTAACAGGCACAGAGGGATGTTTCCACGTGCGTAAGCGATCTCTGAGGTGCAGTCTGCACAACCTCTTGGTGTACCGCGACCCTGGACATCTGGCCAAGCAGGCGCCGTCCCAGCACCTGTGCGCAGTGCTTCTCTCTCTCTCTCTCTCCGCTTCTCCCTCGTACAACGCTTGCGTGCTCGCTGCGAAGGCTTTCGCTCTCCACTACTCAGCCGAGGAGACGGACTCCGTGGAGGACAGGGAGGATTGCTCGCCGGCTTGCTGTGCTTGTCAACTTTTGCAACCGCCCCTCTCTACAAGCTAGAGCGAAGCTCCAAAGGGGCCCGGTTGCCGGTTCGGCTGTGCAGGACGGATTGGCTTCCGGCAGGACCTTGATGCCGTGGCACCATGTCGCTCCAGCCAAAGCCTATGGTGGGTGCGTACCTGGTAGGAGAGCCAGCCGATCAACGAGCAGAACACTGGGACCGCCGCACTTCTGTATCGTCAGGCTGATGTTCTTGTACAGTTGAAAGGTGCTGTGAGGCTCTTGAGGTACCCTTCTTTGCTCTGCTGATATGTTTGGTGCAGATGCTGCTTTGTGATGCGACATCATTGAATGACTCCGGATCTAAGTCGACTAGCTGTCTAAGTACCTTCCAGCATGCCTCAAATCTTCTGCGTTCCGCTTTTCAGCGAGGATCTTTTTGGGGTGGCTTGCGCACTGCTCGCACGCCCCCCGTTCCATCTGCCCCACCTACCACGACTTTCAGACGATGACAGCCCGCTCGTGCCACAGCTTCTGTGCCTGCCGTGCCTGCCGTGCCTGCCGCTGATCAGCTGAGAGTACTCGCGGCGAGGCAGAGGCGGCGATGTGGTGACGAAAGGTCGCAACAAAGCGGCGAGCTAATGACCTCCACTGCATATCGGGATGGGCACAGGGACTTGAACAGCTATTTGAGCTGCTTGTCTCTGCACAGAAGAGAGAAACCTAGTTGATTGGGAGGCAATGGCAGCAAGAGTAGAGGACCCACGTCGCGGTATGCATCTTCGGGGTCGCAGGTCATCTAATCGGCAAGACACACTGCAGTGCAGCCTAGCCCTGAACGCCGAGCACATCCCACACACAAATTAACGCACGGACTCGCCCCAATTTGCCGGGCTTGAGGCTATCAGTTCATTATATTGTAAAGTGGTTGCGTTAGTAGAGGCAACATCCGAGTGGAGAGAAAAAGGCGGTGTCCAGTGACGCAGCGCATCGTTGTCGTGACCTCATCGCTCAGCTTGCGCAGGGCTCGTGGCCTGTCGCTTCAAGATCTGGGTGCGACCGCCTTTGTGCTTGTTGCTACTGATGATGATGAGCGGTGATGTGCAGTGCCTTTTGTGGAGGGACGCAGTCCCATGCAGTCCCTAGATAGATTCTGGGTTTGCTGGAGTATGCAGGCACAGGGCTGGGTGAGCCGGCGGTGGCTTGGCCGAAGCCATCCGATGGCAGTTCCCTCGCCAGCACAGGCGGATCTTCGAAAATCTTCTAGGGTACAGTAGATTCATTTTGTAATGTCCAGTTCTCTTGCCCTGAAACCGCTCACTGCCTCCAGCTGCATTCTTCTTTGCACACCTTCGCGGTTCTTTCGCTGCCTCAGCCGTTGCTGCGAGGTGGTTCAAGTGGGCCGAACGCGTCTTACGGGCGAAGTTCGCCGTGGACCAGCAGCTGAGGCAGGAAGACAGGGTCGGAGACTGCGCTGATCATGTGCTTGAAGATTTCCGCAAGGCGGTGGTAGGTCCCGGTGTCGCATTCGCCTCAACGGATCTCGTGAGTCGAAAGTACTGAAGTTTTAAGTTGGCCCTCTGGAAAGTGAGCGGAGGTCCTGGATGTACGTGATGGCCGAGCCCTGAGCGCTGGCTGGTCAAGGTTGCGAGTGTCACTGACACTTGGAGAGGCTTGACACCTCCGGACACGAAGGATTCCTGCTCTCCGCTGAAGGCCAGCGTGCCCAATCATTGGTTCTTGCTTATCCATCCTTCATATCATGTACATGTCTGTCTAGCATATGTGATGCATGCATGCATGCATGCATGCATGGATGGATGGATGGATGGATGTCTACATGTGTATATATATATATAATATAGAGAGACACACACATGCATGCATGAATGTGTGTATGTGTTTTTAGATATATGATGTATATGTGTGTATATACAGCTGCATATATATATATATATGTACATATATATATGTACATACATATGTACATATATATGTACATATGTATATATACATATATATATATATATATATGTATACACGGCTTGATAGTCTGCCCTTCATGCAGTGCGCAGCGCACTAGCCTTTCAGCACAGCAGTTGACGAGCAAGAACACGCAAGCAACCATGCACGCACTGCGCGCACGCAGACACTGCAGGTCGTTGCTGTCCCCGACTTCATCGCTCACGAGCCCGTCTGGGACTCGCAGGGATGCTGCATCTCACCGCCCTGAAGTACCCAGCCATACCAAGACATTTGGAGTGCCCTCGTAGGTCACCGACGAAGTCAGTCGTCAGCAGGAAGCAACCAAAAGTGCTGCATGCTATGCAGAGGCGCGGAGCGGTTCGCTTCTTCGCTGGTGCGTCACTCGTCACTGATTTACTGAGCTTGCCCAGGCTTTGGGTTCAGCCGTGCTTGATGCTGCCGCAGCCCGCCGCTGGGGTGTTGCCAAGGCTATGATTTAATCTGGTTCCGCGTTGAATGGGTAGCTTTATACGGCAGGAGGTCAGCTACATTTGGAAGCCTGCCCACGCTGTCAGGTATTGTTGCAGGAGCTGCAGAGGTCTCCTGAGGCCCCTGCTTAGAGTCGATCACTACTGATTGCAAGCGCCCGAAACGCTCGTCAACTTGTGGCGGACTTCGTTATTTGAGAAGGTGTAAGATCCGTTGGACCAGGGCCGTCACGTCCATGCTCTACTTGTCTCGACTGCACATGAACTGCCATGTCCAGGTGTTGCGACAGCCACGAGCTTGGTGTTCATGCAGACCTCAACCCTGGAACCCTAAATCCAATCCTAAATCCCTAACCGTGACCAACAAGTGATGCTGAAATTGCACCCCTTGGGAAGAATGCAAAGGTGGGGGTCGGTTGCAGTGCAAATACGACTAGCACAACATGCAGCATCATGGTTATCTCTTGAGGGCCTCGCTTCGCCATTTTTTTCTCCATGTGAAGCTGTCAGCGTCTTCTGCTCGTGTCAACCATGCCTGCCTGTCTGCCTCATTGCTCTGATGCAAGGCGAGCTCTCTCGAAGGCACGGATTGTTTCTCAGCTGTCTTGATGCACGGACTGTGGCTGTAGATTGTTGGATGCGTGGTAGGGGAAGTCATAGTTCATCACGAAAGAAACAAGATCGCTGCTGATAGAAAGGCGGACGTCACATGCAAGACGGCTCTTCGAATGTGTGTTGTCAGAGACTCACCTGTTCCAGTGCTCCATCCGTCCGTGCGTTTCAAAGCAGCTTTGATGCGAATACTGAGGATGCACTATCCAAGAGCAAGCCGCCCTTGCTTCAGGCGCTCTGGCAGTGTGCACATGGTGTCTCGGTGTCAATGTCGACGTAGATTGCTTTTGTGGCGAACATCGATGATTTCTAGACTCTGGGTAGCAAGCATCGCCACCAGCCGTGTTCATCAAATCAAACTCCAAGTCATAATCACACGAAGTGTCTGCCGACTCGTGCCAAGCCCCTGAGCCATCTCGTAGCAACGAGAGAAGAGGTGCAGCACTATCGTCTTAGCCACAGAGAATCCAATTCCTCGTCTCTTCCATATATATATACACACACACATGCCACGAAGATGTTTGCATGGAAGGAGACCGCCCCGAAACGAAAAACTACATGACGAAGTGAGCTTGAAGATGCACACACACACACACACACACACCTATGGCGTTCGCCATGGCTTCGCAAACCTCCAGCCAGTGCCTTAGAGCTCCGTCCCAGCTACTGCTCTCGATCTCTGCAAGCCGCAGCTCCAGGCATGGTGGCGCCACATGGCACAAGCTGAAGGCAGTGATAACTCGCTAGACTGCAGAGCTCGCGAGACAACTGGCATCTCTTTGAAGCTACCATGACCATCGTGCAAGCTTCGGTCGCCTTTCGACTAATCTGGCTGCATGTGGCTCAAGCAAGCATCTGACAACCGTGGAGGCAAGCCACTTTCATGCATCGGACTTGGTCTGCATTGAAACAGTTCGCCCGAGCGACAGCCGGATCTGCACTGCCCTAGCTTGTAAGGTTAATGCGTCGCTTGATGTGCAACTGTTTGCGCGATGAGAAGCATGGCGGGAGGCGGCTGCGAAGCTGTTCCCTTGCAGCTCGAAGCCATTGAAACGGACAGACCATCCTCCCGATCGGAAAGTTGTTCCAGCTACGAGCGTGCAGCTGCATGGATCTTTCTCTGGCTACTGGGTGGCTTTGCGGTGGCAGCTGCAGGCAAGAGTCATGCAAGTTGTACATGTCATGCCTGACAAGCTTATCCATGATCTTCAGGCCTAGATCAGATCAGCAGATTTACTGCTTCGACTGTCGCTATGTCGTTGCAGACACTAGCAATGTCTACCCAGTTTGCATCCAGAGGTTACCCGAAGCTTTCAGCCGCTACACGCCGACAGATTTTGCACATGCGTGCATGTGCAGCCAGGGATCTATGCAAGAGCGTGCGGCAGTGCTGCGCATCTGCTGAACGGTCGACTGGGCGCGCGCATCGGCGCTGCGAGCGCTGTGCAAGGGCCTTGGAGTTAAATACGACAAGAAAAGAATAGAAGCCGGCAGTCAGCGCATCAGATGATAGCCAAACGGCATGTTGCTGCCACAGCAGCCAAGGGATGATCTTGCGCTTTGCAACCCTGGAGTTCCCATTCCGCAAGTGGTGCCTCGGCGCTTCAGCAGGTTCAATCTTACGACCGAATGGAAGCGAAAGTGCTCGTCCCTGCCGCATCCGGCGAGTGCTCCTGATGCAAATTGGTGCTGGGAGTACATGAAGCACAACGGCTGCTATGCATCCCACGGTTCCACCACTTGGTTCGAGGATCAGGCCAAGGCCGGCCCCTTGTCGACGGCTGGAAAGGGACCCACACCATTTTTCTTAATGAACAAACTGATCCAGACGGCAGGTTGCCCAGTTCGGCCAAGCCCCTCCGCCTGCCGAGCTGGCGATGGAGGCGCTCGTGCACCCAGACCTCTGTGAAAATCCGCTTTTCGGGAGAGAGTGGCGCACTCCTTTCGAAAGCAGCGCCAGCTTGAGTTGGATGCGCGCCACTGTGTCGGTGTATGTGGTACACCTGCGATCAGCCACTGACAGATGGCCACTGGTCAGACCCTCAACAGCATTCCAGTGGGTTCGTGCCTCCCGCATGTGAGTCCGGTTGCTTTCCCGTTTGGAGGTTAGAGATTTAGAGAGACTGGAGACTAGAGTCTAGTCGGTTCTCGGGTTTTTTTCGCGGCCATTGAGGCACCAGGCTGAAAGAGCTTGGGATCGACTTCCAAACTGTCGAAGGTGTGCCTTGGCTCGAACTAACCTCGGCTTGAGTGGGTCCATTCGGCCCGCGTTGGACGTCTCCTCGTCTGGCTTTTACTACCCACGCCCTGAGGTGGACTTGACTTGCCTGGATGACTACGAACAGGCGCTCCGGGAAGGACTTCTCCCGAAGATGGCAAACGGAAGCCTGGGCACACTGGGCTGCGCCGCAGCCCACTTCAGAGCGATGAGGAAACTTTGGCCAATTTCAAGCAGACTCGCCGGCTTGTTGGCTAACATCTTTGGGATGTCCCCTAATGACTTACCATGATAGCTCTCACGGAACCCGCTGTGCAAGGACTGCCGCAAGAGGTCCGAAAGCCTTGGCCCTGATTCTTGAAGATGACGTCTGGCTGTCAGACGATTTTCCAGCGAAGTTGAGACAGCTTGTCGACGAAGCTCCGTGCAACTGGCAGATTCTTTCTCTCAAGTCGCGCTGCCCCTTCGGGAAGTGTGTGTCTACGCATCTGTCACAAGTTCAACCAGATGGGAATGCTGGCAGATGCAGTGGTGTCAACTTTGGCTTTTTTGCAATGCTGTACCGTGTCAACTCACTCGACCATATCTGGAAGATGCTCTACGAAGAGGTTTGGAGCCAGCAATGCCACAATACTGATGTGGCGCTAGCTGGCATCTCAGACAAGGTAGCATACTATGCGGTGCCTGCAATCCAGATGCCAGGATTGCTCCATGAAGCAAGGCTTCCCTCCTTGCGAGAAACTCGAAATTCCAAGAGCTTTCCAAGCACGTGAGCCAGCACATTGCGGAGTCTGAGTTGGGAGTGGTATGCAAGGACATCGCATGCAACAACAGGACACGACATAGGCGCCTTTGCAGGACGTGCAACCCTACAGGCGCAATCTGGCAGCCACTCCATGCAGCACCATGCAATACCATGCAGCTATCAGCCCAGCGCATCTCCACGGTCCCAATATGTCAAGTTGCCCAGAAGTTGGTGAGCATCAAACACTCAATTGAGGAGACACCGCCCTACTACTTCCTTCGCGAAGAGGAACAGGAAGAGACGGACATAAAGGGTTCGGTCGTGATGGTCACGTACCTGTATGTATGGTACAAGACTTACGATCCATGAAAGGAGGAGACTTCGGTGAGGAATATTACCAGGGAAAGAAGTACATCCTCAGCTACTCCGAGTCCAAGAAGACCTTGGTGTCTGGAGTCATGGCCGCTTTGCCTTTTCCTCGCAAGGTCGTCACCTGTCTGTTGGAGAACAGGAGCCTTCTGATCTCATCCCCGGCCGACGGAAGGGTCGGAAGGGAGGCAACGACTACTACGAGTCCAAAGTCACGTCTCTGGAGGATGGACGAGCAGAGTTCTACCAAAACGCCGAGACGATCACCGTGCGGTATCAATACAGCACCGACGACTGCAGAACCTGGCATGCGCTGTCCTACTCGGAAGCGCGGAAGGAGTGGGTGCGGACCGCCTCAAGCACCCATTTGAAGTCTGATGAAG